CCAAAAAAAAAACCCACATATCCCCCCATCCCGAAGAAAAATTGCACTGTAGCATCTGAGTACAACTTCCTGCATTCTGAGTAGGTCTATAGACACTAACATATATGTCCGGTTGGTGTGCCACCTGACTTGAAGGTCCAACCTATTATGTAGTGATTATGATAGTAACTTGTCATCATAGTCTATCAAGTATCTCGCTCTTCAGCTAAAACGACTCATGCTAGACACTATAAGTATTTTATTGGACCAAAAAGAGGACCTCTGAAGTTATTCATTCATATATGGAATAACTTATTATCAGTTAATTGTGTGTTATTCAATGTTTCTCTGGTAATCATATTACAGTCCAAGTACTGAAAGTTACCTATCCTTGTGAGGTGGAAATAGCACTCTAAATATGCAAGCTTCATGACAGTGGGAGAACTGTTACAAACAGTAGAAAGGTACTAACCTTCATGCTTCTCTTTCATTTCTTGAAAGGTATAGTACTGATGCTCTGTCTCAATTTGAAGGCAACTCGAGGAGCCTGATGTTGATGGTCTCAGTGTGACTGACCTTGTCCATTTGGAAAACCAGCTACAGTCTGCTCTGATGCAAGCCAGATCTCAGAAGGTCATAGCGGATTCCTCTGTATCTTTTTACTTCCATATTTAAAGTTGCATCATTAGGACTCTGGTGTTGAACTGTGCAGAAAAGCTCCAGCTACCTTTCTTATTGCCTCAAGCTTACTAGCTACCACCTGAAGCCAGGGCAGTGTTGATATCACTACATCATGTTTTTTAGGCGCTACAACCCCTAGTTAGTGTAGTTCAGCGTTCTCATTCTTTATCTCTCTTGTAATCTTATACCAGCTAGTGATTTGTTAGTTTGTCTTGATTCACTTTCTAGTCTAAATGCCAAGGGGCCTCAAATTTTTCATGATTTCACCAGCTACACCTTTTACTTCCATTTACCTCAGTTTGTCTTTTTACAAGTATTTCCATGTCTTTTTAAGTGTTTTTAACATCTGTTTCTCCTTGGAAGCGAATTTAACTTGTTTTGTTTTATGCAGACACATTTGATGGTTGAATATATCAAGTCTCTTCAAGAGAAGGTAAGTCTCGGCTGTTACTCTCACAAATGTGAGTTGGTATATGACGGAAAACATTTCTTGGAAAATGTCTCTGAAAAATCACTTTTTTCTGAAAAATATTTTGTGGAAAACGATTCCATTGTTTGGTTGGAAAATGGAAGAATGGAAATATTTATCTCCAAAAACATTAACTAAATCTTTATAATGACATTAGCGAACATGACAATGTTTTGATAATCAAGTGTTGGATAGTTGTGCATGAAGTTAAAGAGTTGTGATAGTTGTGAAGAAAAGGACTTTGGGCTGAAAGTAAGGAAGCTCATCGTCCCGCATTCGGTGAAAAATATTTTCTAATAAAACACCAGAAAATGACTTATTCTCCGAAAAAATCCTTCAGTTCGTCCACCGCATTTCAGCACTTCATGTGAGCTCAAGAGTTTGGTCTGTCATTTGCACTTTCATTTCCTGTGAAGTTGCTCTATCATAGCCATGTTACCCCTTTGTCTTTGGCTCCCCGGATACTGACTCATATTATGCTATATTTGCATGGATTAGTTTCATGCGACCACCTAGAACTTGCATGCCATCTTAATTCAAATTCTTAAGCATAGATGATTTCAAGCAAATCTAGACTTGTCATCTTCCCGAATTAAGTGCCCCTTGGAGCCACAGCATTGTGGTGGAGGATAGAACAGCTTGTGATCTTGAATACCTGAGCCTAAGATCATATTTTATCTGCCACGGCATAAGATAAAGTTTAAATTATATTTGTATAACTGATAGAATAGTTTTTGTTCCTTTAAGTCGCTGTTCTTGTTTACAGCTCTACATAGTTCTGTTAAACTTCTGGGGCTACTAAATAAGTCAAATGAATTCTCCTGGAATTTCTACTCTGTGACCAGAATTCATTATTATTTGAGGGAGAATTAATATGATGTTAAGTTGCCATTACATTGTGTGACAGAAGGTATGACCTTAGACTCTTCTCTGCAGGAAAAACTGCTGAAGGAAGAAAACAAACTTCTGGAAGACAGGGTAAATCTTATATGATAGATCTTCTCTTTTGCTAGCACAAATTAGGTGTTGTCTGTATAGATATATCTTCCATGGTTTTCTAAATGACAAAATAAATGTGCATATGCACCTACAGATAGCTGTGATCAAGAAAAACAGAGAAGTTAATGGTATGGCTTCGAATTTCACTAACCTTGCACCAGTCCCCATGATTCGTGGACAGCAGAGAGCGACCCTGAATTTCCTCTAGTTATCGTTGTATATGTCAAGTATCTTGTAGAGGCTCAACCGGAACAATTTGCCAAGGTTATCTGGTGCTTCTAACTTGGCACCTCTACTTTGTCATTCCCATTTATTTGAAGGATTATGATGCACCTGAAACACTGCAAATTCGGTATGTCCAAAATCAACAGTAAAAGATATTGGTGTAATATTTATAAAATAATATTTAATTGTTCATCTGTAAGACCAACTATGATGAGCTCTTTTTTCCTTTTCAAATGTGTATGGATTCTGTAATGTCTTAATCATGTCTTTAATTTCGTTTGTTGGTGATTTTTGTTTATTTATGTATCTGTGTATCCTCTCCTAAACATTTTTATTCTGAATGTTACAGTACCATTCTGGGGAAAATAGGAACAGCTTCTGTCTTTGACATATTCATTCTAAGAAATATTACCGTTTATTCTTTGGGAAAGTTGCTCTTTCATTCGTGCCGTTGCAGTATTCATTCTTAGTGTAGAAGCTAAGGAATGAGGATCTTGTTATTGGAGCATATAATACCTCAGATTTTAGACAGAGTCTCACATCGGCAAAACACAAGAGGGATGCTGGGTATATAAGTTAACAAGCCTTAGACCATAGTAACGCGTTTTAAATCCGTGAGGGCCTAGGCCCAGAGCGGACAATATCACTTGCGGGCTGCTCTGTTACAAAGCAGTAGCACGTTTAAAAGGTTAGGTTAAAAGGAATGAATTTCTGACTAAATCTATGGGAATAGGTCTATTTTTATCCTTTAAATATAATCCTGAGCCTTTTTAGTCCCTTAACTTTCTTAAAGTGGTTCTGTATTTTGGTTTTGCTTTTGCCTTTGCTATATTAAGCAAGTGGAGATGACAGAACCTATGAAGTTTTTCTCTTTAAGTTAGTAGGGGTCGACTTAATTAATCCCTTCATATGTAATTCTTAATTTCTTTTTTCTATTTATGTGCTGTGAAGTTTTAGTTTAATGTATGGACTAGATTATTCAATCAATAATGTTTCCATAGTTTAAAGGTATACGATGGTAATTCATTTTCGAGAGAAATTTAAAAATAGCCAGATTTACAACTGGTCATTCAAAAATAGCCCAGTTTCAAAAGTAATCGAAATTTAGCCACTTTTCATGTAAAGATAAATCTGAGCGAAAATACTGTTCAAACCCCGGAAAATACGCTCGTATATTATACGGGAGTTCCAAGATAACTATGCTGGAACTCCAGCATAATATGTTGGAGTTCCAGCATAAGTACACTAGAACGCCAGCATAATATACTGGAGTTCCAGCAAGTATAAATGTCCAGTATAATATACTGGAGTTTGGAGCATCGGTGCTCCAGTCTCCCGTGTATTATATAGGAATCAGCAAAGTATACCGGTCCAGCATAATATGCTGGAGTTCGTACACATATGCACCGAACTCCCGTATATTATGCGGGACCGGTCTCTGTTGCAGCAAAATAGTGACTATTTTTCATTGACTTCGTAAACGGTGGCTATTTTTGAATGACCAGTTCGAAAACTGGCTATACCGTGCTATTTTAACTTCATTTTCTCTTTTGTATGTTTGTCTCCTCTAGTAATAGTTATTCTGGAACTACTTGGATTTGTTGTGGAACTGTCGAAGTTAGGTTACGTGAATGCACTGAAATTAAAGGAATAACAGTACAACTGTTGAAATCAATTCTTTTTAAAAATGAAAACCAGTATAACCAAATAAGTTTTGTGAGTTTTAGTTAAGGGATTCTAAACACAATAACACATTCAAATGAATACTCTGTTTTCTATGAAATGTGCAGTAGTCAAGAAAAATAACAGTACTATCAGTTGAAATTTTCACACATGATAGCTAATTTTAAAAGAGATGTTTCCTGCATTAATTATTCCTTGGTTTTCAGGTAAGGTAGTCACTAGTCACTATCTTACAGAACCTAGAGGGGATCATCATTTGAGAAGCTTCAAGGGATAGCACCGTTAGGGCACATTTGATACGAAGAATAATGGATAATTAATTCTGAAATTTTAAATTTGAGATGAGTTTATCCCCCATTTGGTTGGGATAAAATCGCGATATAATTAATCCTGAGATTAGTAGTGGGATTTTAGTGTTATTTTTATCCTTACGGGAGAGCGGAATAACAATTTCGGGACAATTAATCCTGGGATAACTTGTTTTCCAAGCAAGCGACCCCTTAATTTTTAACATAATTATGTAAGGGAGACCAAGTGTGCTCTATTTTAACAAAGTTAAGGGATTAAAGATGCTTTATCCATATATAAGGGACAAACTTAACCAAAAACTAAAAGGAACTATGGCTTATCCATGAAATAAACTGTGTTGTCCTCTGCTCCACTTTTGTCGTCCTGGTTAATGTACTTAAATAATCTAAAGGCTTGGCCACGTGGGGCTGCATATGTACTCCTAAAGGTGGTAGTACCTTCTATCACAAAATCTGTACAAGGAACCAACATCCTTGATGCGGCCGAAACAATTAAGACTGACTTGGAGGCACTAGAAAAGATAAGATTCAACATCATTTCACTCCTCGTATTTGATAATGACAAAAATATTTTCTTTAATTTATATTCTAAAAAATGATAATTTTAAAAGAAAAAGAATTTCTGATTTTGTTGAAGAGTGTAAAACATATGTTGATAATTGATGAGTAATAAAGATTAAAAAAAGTAGTCTTTTTGGTGAATTTTTTAGTATTAAATTGGTATTCCCTAACACTATATTCTTCTTAATTTGTTCAAGAAAAATAACATTTTCATATTTAAAATAATTTAAATTTAAATTTCTCATATTACCGTTAATAACATAATTTTATTTTTTGGTTTCTCACCCTGTGTTTGATACTCACGTTGGGGCTCGACTAAGGATTCGAGCTTGGATAAGCTCTCACTAACAAGGCGAGGTCATACCTGGGGCTTAAAGATGAAGGAGTACTTACCACTTCACTACAACCCTTTTGTTGGTATTAATGCCTAAAGTTAAAAGTTAAAAATAGTTGCCAAGTAAAATGAATTACATCGGAAGAAGTCATTTTTTGCATTTTGGTGAACTCTCATTCTAAATTTTTAGTTTTTTTTTTTTTGGTAGAATGTAGGAATGTATTTACACCTAAAAATGACTTAATATCCAAGAAATATTTTCAGGAAATACGAAGTAACAATATGAAATAAACGACAATCGAGAGGCTTCACAGTTAGCATGAGGCGGAGGAAGAGGCCAAGCTAAAGTGTTGAGTTTGAAACAACAGAAAACGATTCTCAAAAAGGAAATGCCATTACTATCTAGCTGCTAATCCAACTTACAAATTCTGGGAAGGAATGCAGTTGCTCCGCTGAGATTGTGGATGTCCTCTTGAGGATAAATATAATCTGAAATATACTCTCTCTCTCTCTCTCTCTCTTCAGTGGGTTTTCTTTTGGTAGCGCTTTAGGGTAAACATGATAAATTTCATACAAGTCTGTCGAGATACTATATATGTAGTATCATATACTGCTAGTATGTAGAAGTAAGAATATATGATTGGCTAATACATACAACTTGTTTCTAACTTAGTTAAACTTTACCAGCAATTAATACAAAGTAGAGTAAATTATTGCTCCCCGATCCACGATAAACGATCAAGTTTCTTTTTTATTTTAGTCCAAAATAAGTATTCATTTATATAATCAAGAAAAAATTCGATTTGTTTTTCCAAAATTACACTTATGTACGTATTCCTAAAAAGTCATTTACTCCTCACATTTGAGAAGAGAAAGAAGTACTACTATAACTATGGTGCACCATTTAATGAAGAATAGTTTAGTCACATTAATTATTTTCGTCTAAAATTTAATATTTTCTTAATGAATATGCCCAAAGCAAATTAAGAAATATAGGAGTTTATATACACGGTGCGTGCTGCTAGTCACTTACGTATAACCTTGACTTTTGCTACTCATTTTTCATCTTTTTCTCTCTCTACTTTTATCTTCCCCAGTATAACTAGAAGTTAAGAACGAATCTTTTCATCTCTATTGTCTATTGAAATAAATATACGTATTGTAAGCATATGCCTGCTTCTTGTCTTGCACCCTCTTAATTGTATTGGTCAAAATCTGATCATCACGACCAAGCTGACCGACACCTCGTCTCAGTAATTGGACAGTGAAGATCAACAGAGTCCACTCCATTTCTCTTCTATGATATCCGACAAATTAGTAAGAGTGACACCTAAAATCATGATCAAGACACATCAGTGGCAAGAAAATGTCGAGTCAAGTAAAGGGCAAGGATACCCTAACTATATATAGCCAGGGAAAGCTCTCAACTTTGGGGGCTTCTCCAGTTTCTCTAAAGGAAGACAAAAAGCTCTCTTCTTGTATTCTAGAAAAAAAGGAAATGACCTCGAAGAAAATGTGTAAATCTGCTTCTTCATCGATTGATGAGAAAGACAGTGTCGAATCTTAATAAGATCAATAATATCTCTTTCATCCCATATACGATTATTGTTGTTAACTTTTCGATCTGGAATTAATTATGTTTTGACTAACATTTACCTTTTAATCTTTGATTGATTTTTTTAAAAAGGTTTTAATATCATTTGAGTCAAACAATTTGACGCCGCCTGTGGGGATTTCTTAGTGAAAATTCCTAGTTTCTCCCAGATCAAAGCCAAGAAACACAATCACCCACCAAAAGAAGCATGAAGAGAGAATCCAACTCACGCGAGATATGGGAGCAACACAGTAAGGGAAGGAGAGCCAAGCAGGATTACCAAGCCTAGAAATCCTCGCCCATCAACCGCAGATATATTAAACAAGGCAAGTGGTGTTACCAACCTGTTCTCCCCCACCGGACCACCTGGCAGGAGCAAAGGAAATCTCATCCTCACCTCCCACTCTTTGTCCAGGCAAGCATAAGACCCGCATGGACGAACGTACACAGGAACATCTCGATTGAAGGACAAAAATTGCTTCAACACAGCTGAAATACCTCCTGCCGGCAACATCTCCGAGCTGGACAAGAAAACTATAATGCATACACAGTACGAACCTAAGCGAAACATCAACACCTCGTATTCACCAGCGTTGCACCGTCTGGTGCAAGCAATACCAAACAAATTGGGACTCCCACGGAAGAATTCCAACTCTCCAGAAATTGGGACTAACGACGGGCTGTTATTTCGATAAGTTCGAAATAACACCCTTTAAGGCCAAGGGCCTTCGCCAAAAAAGAAAAGGGTTCAACCTCGATCGAACAATGACGGGCTGTTATTTCGATATGTTCGAAATAACACCTTTTAAGGTCAGGGGCCTT